AGTGGCAGTACTGAAAGGGTTGGTTTTACATCACAGGGCCTAACACTACCTCCTCCCCAACCATATTGAGATTGATCTAGGGCATTTACTATCTGTTAAGAGATACTTTTACTTCCAGGAAAGTAAGTTATCTACTTGTTTTTAGCATGGCAAAGAGAATTATGAAGGTCCCACAAGGCTATTAATCTTTCTGAAGGAATCACAGCAAAACTTTATTGAAAAGGTACTGGATTTGATATTGTGTATCATGATTTAGCTGATCTCATCAGCTCCTTTGTGAAGTTTGGTACGGTAGTTAGCCCCCACATTGGTCTTCTTTCCACTCCTTGCTCTTGCTGGTTTGTACTTTGTGTGCAGTACTGTTTTGATGGACTCTGTAAACAGAAAAGGCTCAATTGAACATTAGAATAAATACTGAAAGGCAGCTAGCTTGATTCTTGTGACATTTGATTTTGTAATGATTGGACATTTCTGTTTGATACTCATTTGATGTCTGATGCCATTCTTATCTTCAAAGCATAGCTCCCTAACTAGTGAATATCTACGAGGAATCTATAGTAACAACTTTCTTGAGGAATTATCAGAAATTCAATCTTAGCAATTATTATAACATGTTTTCTCCTAGACTTGTAGTGAATGTATAATGTCTCCCGTTAAGAAGCCTCTGTTGTAAATGGACAGGAATATTGCCTAACATGTGACATAGCTTAGTGCAGGGTTTTCTAACCTTCACTCATTAAAGCTTTGTTATATCTAAGAGGTGACTGGACTGCTGGTTCCTTAGTACCTTTTTTTTTCCTTTAGATCAAGTCATTGTTTTCAGTATTTTCTTTTTAAAAAGGAAAGTTTATATAAGTACCATAATTGTAATGCCAGACCACTTGACATAAATAGAAGTTGATATAAAAATATAATAAAAAGCAAACATTCTTAAATTGTAAGTGCTTATATTTGCGTTCCCCAGATTCCGCATATGTTGAAAAAGAGAAAGACAGTGACATTAGAGACAGAGTAAAGTGCAGCTAGTACCAAAGTAAAATATTCTCCTTGATGTAAACAAAAGGTTAGAAGGAGTATTTCACAGGAAAGAATTTTCTCACCAGGCAATTTCTTGCCACTTGATAGG